CTAAGATGTTATCTCGACATTCGTATACACTTTTATCATGTCAGTTTAATTTATTTTTCTGCATTGAAAAATATTACAAAAATACCGAAATCTAAGGCAAATTCAAAAAAGGGAAGTATATCAAAACAGACAATATAAAAGGCTATCATTCAACGGAACAAGTGAAAAACAACTGCCATATTCCTGACTTGATACAGATATTTTTCGAAGACAGAAGATTAAACGCAATCCTTGTATTTGCTTTTAAACAGATATAAAAGATTATTGCCTTTATTCTCTGTCAATTTTGTATGTTTTGTATGTTAACGCCTTAGTTAAAACTTTTCCGTAAAAGGAATGGTCCTTATTAATCAGGTGAGAGGGTCAGTTCATAATTTTCCCATTTAAAAGTTTTGTTGGCAACCCCTCCCCAATCATTCCAATGAACCACATAATGACCCCCCGGCCGTAGATCAAGTTTGTCCTGTCGATTAACAGTTGTGAGAAGGTGATGACTACCAGGTACATAGTTACAGGCATTTACTTGACAAACAGCCATGAAAAGTATGCGAACATTGATTTTTTTACAAAACATTCTATACACATATGTTCTGTCATTTTATATAACTAGCTTGTGATATTCTGTAAATATTATATTGCCTTGATGTTTCATCATGACCTTCCATATTCTTTGTTTTGAAGCTTATTAAACTAATTTTAGTAAACATTTTTCAGTTTTATCCTCATTTTAGAAAACACAGAGCATAACATAGACTTTTTCACCTTGATGTTTTTCTCAAATATAAATATTGTAGAAAAATGGACAACATAAACATTTAAATGACAACAAAATATATTTCAATTTCAATTGAACCTGCGTGTACAGAATGAAGTCATACCTATATAGATTGTCCCTTATTTCGAAACTGCTTATCCTAAAAAAAAGCCATTTACCAGCATATGCCATTTAAAATGAATGGAATGTCGAAAAGAGAAAATTCATTGTTCCAATTTATTAGACTGCTACCAATAATTCTAAACATTTTATATTATATCATCGTTCAATTATGATTCAATAATGATTTTTATAGATATAAGAAGGTGTGGTATGAGTGCCAATGAGACAACTCTCCATCCAAGTCAAAATTTTATAAAAGTAAACCATTATAGGTCACAGTACGGTCTTCAACACGGAGCATTGGCTCACACCGAACAGTAAGCTATAAAGGGCCCCAAAAAATTACTAGTGTAAACGAAACCATTCAAACGGGAAAACCAACGGTCTAATCTATATAAAAAACGAGAAACGAGAAACACTTGTGAACCACATCAACAAACGACAACTACTGAACATCAGATTCCTGACTTAGGACAGGTGCAAACAAATGCAGCGGGTTTAAACGTTTTAATGGTACCAAACCTTCACCTTTTTTCTGAAACAATAGTGTAACATCACAACATAGAAAGACACACTATAAAATATCAACTGAAATAGCTTAACTCAATCAAAGGACATATTAACACCATTGAACATACACTGAACAAATAAATTTGACCTATGACACAATGTAAATACAAAAATAAATAAACTAATGGAAGAATAATAAAAGTAACATGTTATATCGGTAAGAAATGTTAAACAATTAAAGAAAAACAATATGCTCGAACAAAAATACCATCCATTTGCAATAACTTTAAACACAGGTAAATGAAAATAATTTTGTTGTTAGGTATACGTGTACAGTACCAATAGAGAAAGGAAATATTTTTACAAAATAAATAATTTTGATGTTCATAGTACGAAGTGAAAATTTATAGTTATACCAAACACTTATCAAAGCTGGTATATAGACCAGATATAACCCTGAATAACATTAAATAACAAAAAAGCAATACAATTAGTATCAACAGGTCAAATAAACAAGAAAGTACGATTTGAGAGTACTCGCAGTTACTGACAGCTAGTTAAAAGCCAAAACAATTAACAATAAAAAATCATGCATCAGAGACTAAAATCAACTAAAACACATCCCAGGGATTTAGTATTTTAACGTCATGGACAGTCAAAGAAGACATGACTAGTGCAATGCCAAACATAAATGTATCGACAGACAGTAGGATAGTTAGGAGTTTAACCTCTTTATAGATCTAAACGAACGTGGGTGTGTCTTTATACATCCCACTTGAAAAAAATACAAATTTAGTTATGTTTTAATTTGCTGATGACAAAATCGATATTAGTGCCAATGTAAACTATATTCAAAGATCTAATTACAACATTGGTAAGATAACCTTTACTAATAAGTTTGTTTAAAGGTTCGATGAGTTTACACGGATCACATTGTGATTTCCGCGCTTTAAGTACAATATGACCGTAAAATTTAGGATGTGAAATACCGTTTTTAATCAGTTTTCTACAAGTACAGCCAAATTTACTAATCAAATCTTTGTATCTATGAAAGAACTTAGCAAAAGTTTTACGTAATTTATGGTAACGAAATCCTTGATTTAATAATTTACCAGTGATGCATTGATTACGTTCGTTAAAATCTATGACATCACTACACACACGGGCATAACGAACGAGTTGGGATATATATACACCGTATGATGGAGCCAAAGGAACATCGCCGTCTAAACAAGGAAAATTAACAATAGGGAATGAAAAATCGTCTCTTTTGTCGTAAATTTTCGTATGGAGTTTTCCTTTAGAGATTGAAATGTCCAAATCCAGAAAAGGACAACTACTGCTGTTTATGTTAGATTTGGTTAAAGTAAGTTCTATTGGGTAAATTTCGGTAGTATATTTAAAGAACTCTGGATTATTTAACGAAAAAATATCATCTAGATAACGGAAGGTATTGTTGAATGTATCAACCAAATGTAACAATGACGTGTCTTTACTGAGTTTGGTCATAAACTGAGATTCATGGCAATACAGGAATAAATCTGCTTTTAAAGGGGCGCAGTTAGTGCCCATAGGAATACCTACTACTTGTCGATACACTCTATCGCCGAAACGTACATATATGTTGTCCAGGAGAAAATTTAAAGCTTCAATCATATCTTCACATTTCCAGTAAGTGTATCTAGCATACTTTCCTTTTTCGTTACAGAAAAAGGCTTTAAACGAGTTACAGCAAATAAATTTGTAATGAGATTTTTCAAAAGACCATTTAATTAAATATGAAAACTTTTTCTTGATAAGATTGTGTGGAAGTGTAGTATAGAGAGTAGAAAAATCATAACTGTCAACAGAATTAAAAGGACCATCAAAAGCATGTATTTTATCTAAAACCTCTGAAGAATTTTTAACACTCCAAAAATAATTAATACCATTATTTTCATAAGCTTTATTACAAAAGTTAATAACAAGTTCTTTGATAGTAGTAAGGGAGGTAGTTAGAAGCACTGATAGATTAGTAGTAGAACACTTACTAGATGCGGAGATGAAACGGAATTTAAATGGTTTTTTGTGCAATTTAGGTAACCAGTACATAGTAGGGACTTTCAAATGTTCGGAAGAGGCCTTAAGCTGGGTAGTGGCAGTGATATGCTTGTTTACAATTTGACTCTCTGTGGAGCGTACGGACCTGAATGTAGATGAATTTGTAATTTCGTTTTGGAGAACTTCCGTGTAGTTTAATCTATATAATGAATAAATGTACATTTGCTGTCACAGATTATTTGTGTGAATGGAAAAACTTTTAAAAAAAAAATAGGAAACTTGTCTCAATTCCTTTAAAGCCTTAAATTACTAAAATAATGATATTCGTGGATTTTAATTTTTCATCATATAGTTATTTTTTATTTCAATCCCACGCCAGAAAGTTCAACTGAACACATTCGAAATATCACTAACTTTATGGTTCTGGTCCTTCATTGATCAACTATGTACATGATCTATTTAAGATAAAGAAATAGATATGTAGGTTTATATTTATATGAATATTCAATATTTTATTTCAATTTGAAAATGTTTTACGAAATCATAGTGTATTGTTTTGAGTGTGTGCATGCCATGCTGCCATTTAGTGCTCTTATTTGGAACATTAAATATTCTTATTTTTATTTGATATCTTTGTAATAATTTCATGAAATTATCTACCTATTTACAAATGATTTTTGAATATATATACGCGCCTTTTACAATCCTACACATATCCCCAAGAAATCGCATCAAAACAATGTTAACACTTTTGAAAGGCGAATACACATGTTCAGAAACTTTTCTAACTCATTGTTTCCTGTGGCCAAAACTAGGGAGAAAGTGCCATACAATTGTCAATCTAATGATTGTGAATTTACCCATCCTGTGGATATTACTGTGATAAGGAGTGATCAGATTCACTACCCTTGGGAGATTAGGCATGATCCTGCTAATACTGTTTACGATCACAATTTATTAATGACAGAAATCATTTAAGAGATTGCATATCCACTTCAATATCGTCAACAGTTCATATACTTTTCAGAGATAAAAATTTCATTTTGTAAATAAAATTTTTGATTGCAAACCCCAGCGGTATGATATTTTTGGTAATGACCCCCCTAAAATGCACCGACCCCCTCAGCTGAAAAATAATGACCGTTCCCTAAACAAGCTATCTTAAGATTTGTTCAAACTTATTTTTGACAAGTTGAACCGAAATTCAATTAAATATTCATTCAGAAGATTTCGACATCTTGGTACGCCACTATTTTAGTCGCCATAGATTATTTGTGTCGGTGTAAGTATCTGTGATATGTTTAATTAGATCACTTTCCGAAAATGTGTATTAGTGAATACAACAGTACCAACTAAATGTATTTTACATTATAAGCTTTACTTTAATGTAATTTATTTCCTTGTTCTGTGTAGTTATACATGTTATACTATACTACACACGTATTTCAGTAACGTTATGTAATGAAAGAAATTGATGCATCAGAAACATGTAAGGTCAACAGGTAACAAGATAAGTGAGTACACACATAACTGAGACGTAACTGAGAGATAAGGTAGCAGTTATATGAACTAAAACAATTAAATGACCGACTTGCTTATTAATTGAAATTCAAATCAAGATGGCATATAAAAAAACACATTTAAACAACATTTAATTTGAAAGGATCATCATAATTACGATATTGTCGACAATAATTTATATAGTTTACAAAAAATTCAGGGGCAAATATTTCCTACATATATAAAGGACGATAACCAATCGAGAATTAAATTTAAGAAAGAGTTAAGATACAATGTGGATCTACGGGAATAAAAGTTGGAAATTTTTGATTGAAGTAGGACATTTAGAACAAGCTATGTTTGACATGGTTAGTAATTTTATCTTTTAATCGTTGAGTTAAAGCAAGCGTTCAAAAATGTACCACGATCATGGCAACCAACGGCTTCTAGGACATGCTATGGTAAAACTTACTTTTTCAGACCGTTTGTGGTATCAATAACTTTCACATAGTCAACCGGATTCCCCCACACTATGAATCTATTAAAATTCTAGACTGGAGAAAAATTGTCATATTCCTAGTCACCATAGTCGACAGACATAAATTGTATATTACAAGCGTTTTTACTCATCGTCATATTTCAACGTGAGCTGTGTACAAATCAAACAGATATGATAAAAACCACATGTCATTGAATACTTTCGGTTGCAGAGTAGATATTCAAAATTATAGAACAGAGGGACAGATGATACCATTGCCGACAGGAAAGTCCCAACAAAACATCGATTAAAACTGAATGGAACATTTTTTCTTCGGAAAATGCCAATACCAAGTCACAAATATTACATATATTTTCCATTCATTTCGTTGGTTGATAAAGTCTAACGTTTGATGTTGCCAGTTGTTATGGACTTTCTCTTTTCAAAATAAGTTGGAGTTCAGTATGTTTGTTGTACTCTTTTTTTAAAAGAATTAACAAGGTACAGCTATTTGTGTGACCATTGTTTCTGTCGAATACATATGTGAGAAACGATCACGACTCTTCCATTTGGAAATAGAAAATGACATGTGGCATGTTTGAGTTTAGTACACACAATACTGATCCAGCTAAAATGTTTATAAGAGACGTCTAAACAAAGTCACAAATTCAAAATAATTTATATGTAACGTGACAATGCATTATTATGATCTATTATAGACAATTTGAAATTACATGTTACACCAAAATAAGTATTTTATAATAAGTGTCTCAAAGGCAATTATACCGCATCTCCTTGTTTTTATGTTTATGATGAAACATTGAATTGTTTTTCTAAGAAAAATCCAACTTAGTTTAGCTAAACAATTTTCTATCTGCTCATATCTTATTTATATGGAAATGCTACACGTACGTAGTTTAAAATCAGAGTTCATAATCTGGAAATGCAGTAGAGTATATTTTCGAAAATCCTTGAAAGGATAGATTATGCAAATATTGTCCCTTTCTCGACGGAAGGGGAAAATCAATTTTTACAAAACCTATTATATTGTTTTCACATAGTACATGTAGTAGTAACTTTATGTATCTCGCAAAATAACAAACAATATTGATTTTGGATACGATGGCTTGTTCAAAACTATGAAAGTTTGATCCGCTAGCTGATATTCCACTGAGGGTTACACGAATTGTCACGATGGCTCTTTGTTTTAGCTTTAAGTTAAATGAAAATGCTGCATTTGTCAAATGTCCAGTTTAAAGCATTACTGATTATGGTAAATAGAGCAAATCGGTTCTGAAACGTAAAAAAAATTAAAGTATTATTTTCATTTTTGACCATTTTTGTTAAAACTTGCAACTATAACAGTTTGGATGTGCGGGATGTATAGATACATAAAAACAATTATCTTTCACAATAAACTACACATTTCAATTGCTGATACAAGTAGCACCTCTTCGAATTTAATGAATGTGAACCAGAAACTCTTCTTCCTATAAGATGACAATACTTTATACTTTTCAGCTCTAGTAGTCTTGCTTTACTTAATTGCTGTATTTTATTTTTGTAGATTGATTTTGATGTTCTCAAACTTTGGCGTCATTCATCCGTTAACGTTTACAAAAATCTCTGCTTCTGAAACTACAGGGATCATTTGGAATCAAACGTGGCCACAATCATCCAAGAGGTAACCGTTAAAAATAAGTTCAATAACCTTTTCTGCAACTAACACTGCCAAAGCTTATAAAGTTCTTTGGATAACTTGCAGGCATTATATTTTATCAAGAAAACTGTTATTATTAAATATGGAAATTCTGACAAGGGTAGAAATGTTCAGAATGTCAAGATTTACCTACTGTCCATTTTTGCCATAAACGACAATTGTTTTCATTTTTGTTTTGGGTATTCACTTGAAAATTATATACGAAAGTGTGGAATTGTAAATAGCTGAAGTAATCAGCAGGTCAATGACTATGAATATGTTAAATAGCCGAAATCATGAGTCTTCACTTATAGGAGTTACAATGCCTGATAGACCATTCAACTCATTTATGTATTTTTTCGGAAACCATTAAACGTAAAAAAATTCTACACTGCAAAATTTATCAGCAAAAAAAGAAACAGATATACAAAGAATCAATTAACTTTATCAAAACTGTTCAATTTATTGCCCTTAAAATGAATTTTATCTATTATGTGTGTCATGAATAACGATTTTTCGTTTCAATTTCTAAAAACTTATTAGATTGCTTTTACATAATTTCGTATAGTAAGAATTTTTAATGTCTCTCGCAGAATAACACACAACGATGATTTTGGGTACGAAAATTTGTTCAAAACTATGAAAGTTTGGTAATTTTAGTTGAATGTGGCGCGCTAACTGATATTCCACTTAGGGTTTAACGAATTGTATTTAAGGCTCTCTGTTTTAGATTTCAGTTTAATGAAAACGTTGCATTTGTCAAATGTCTAGTTCAAAGCGTTCCTGATTGAAGTAAATCGGGTAAAGCGCTACTGACATACACACAATGTTTAAAGTGTTATTTTCATCTTGAATCATTTATGTTAAAACTTGCAACTATAACTTTTGAAAATGAACGATCATTCATGAACACAAGGGTTCATTCGGGTATAGACATATGGGCATCCTCGAGCATTTGGACCTCCTTAATTCTGACAGGAAAAGCCTGAACGTCAGTTTTTCTTTGCGGGTTGTATAAATACAAACAAACAATTATCTTTATCATCAAATTTCAATTGATGATACAAATGTCATGACCTGTATGAATATGATGCATGTGTACCAGAAACTCTTCTTCCTTTAAGATGACAATATGTTATACTTTCCAGCTCTAGTAGGTTTGCTTTACTTAATTGCTTTATTTTTGTATTTTACTTTTGTTGCTTTTGCTACTTTCAATCTTTGGTGTCCGACGTCCATAAAATTTTACAAAAAAAATCTTCCCTTCTGAAAAGTTAAATCACAAAAATACTGAACTCCGAGGAAAATTCAAAACAAAAAGTCCCTAATCAAATGGCAAAATCAAAAGCACAAACACATCAAACGAATGGACAACAGGTCCAATTTTGGAATCAAACGTGGTCAAAATCATCCTTGAGGTAATTGTTAAAAAATGCGTCCGATAACCCGTTCTACCTTCTAAGATTGCCACGGAATATAAAGAAATTAGGACAACATGCAGGAATTATATTTTATTAAGAATACTGTTATTATTAGATATGGAATGTTTTACCAGGTTAAAATTTTTCACAATGTCAGGATTTACCTACTGTCCATGTTTTCCAAATTTGTCAGACGACTCCATATTGCCCTAAACGACGAATTTAAAAAAAGTTGAACAATTTCGGACATCATCTTAAAAATTATACAAGAAAGTGTAAATTTAAACTGTAAATAGTTGAAGTAATCAACAGGTCAGTGATTATAAGTATGTCAAACATCCGAAAGCATAAGTCTTCACCTATCAGAGTTATCATGCTTGATAGACCATTTTTACTCATTTATGTGTTTTTGCGGAAACCGTTAAACGGAAAAAAAGTCTACACAGCAAAACGTATCAGCAAAAACAAGATATACAAAGAAGCATTACCAAAACTGTTTGTCAAGATATTGCCCTTAAAATCAATTGTATCCATTTTGTTTGTCATTGAATGACGACCTTGTTTACGCAAAACAAGTGAGCTTTGAGACCCTTCTTAATGAAAAAAATAAATATCAACAGGACAAGATTTAAAAATAATTTAACATTGCCGGGACCGTACGTCGATTTTTTGTAGAAAAAAAAATGTCTTTCAATGACAATTTTACCAATTTGTGCAAAACCTACAATAAATAAAGAGGAACTTAAAATATAAAAAAATAAACAAAATAAGATTTACAAATTTGCCATTATGGCTGAAATGGTCAATTTACTCTCTTTATGAGTAATTACACTGAAATGATTATTTTTTTGATAAATATTTACCTTTTTGCTGAAATCTGTACATATTCTTACTGCTTTGTATTTTTGTTATTCAAAAATACCGGGTGAGCGTTACAGGTTTCTTGTATCCTCTAGTTGTTGTCAAACAATTTTCATTGTGTCCTTTATGACTTAGCATAACAGCTCTTTTAAATGAAAAACGCGGTTTGTTTAATGGGAAATCAAAAACCATTAGTTGAAATAAACCAACAAAATAGGACGAATTTTCAGCTGTACAAGGGACATGGATCCGTAGTGCTACTTCTGTTAAAGTTTGAATATTAAGTCGCATATTCCTGGCAAGCAGAGACTGGCATTGTGAGTGTAGCCAATGTGTCGTATTGCATAGAAAACTATGATAGATAAAAATTTTAAACAAAAAAGAATTTTCTCTAAAAAAAAAACCAAACCTGATAGAATATTTTATCAAATGTTTGCTTTATTGGAAATTTTCTTGTAATGACTAAATGATTATTTATTTCTATACGCCCCATCAGAACAAAAAGGCTATATCGCGGCGAGAGCGAATTCAAATATTTTAACTAAAGACAGGTTTTAAACATCAGTCAACAGGTCTTTCAATTTACTAAAACTGTTATTTAAAGCGAAATTTTGTATGCACATATAAAATTTACAAACAAGATAAAGGGATAAAGCTTTGAATTCGTTTTACACTTATACAATATATTTATAGTTTGGAATATATTCCAATTTTAAAACAAAAAATGAAATAATTATGTCAACAGGAATATTATAAATAAATCATACATATTATCCGGATATCAGAAAAGTCAATACATTCAATTGAAATATGCCTAATTGTATACTTGTAATCGCAAGGTATACATTTTGGTTGAATTTTATTTATAAAAGATATATTCTTGATAACAGATGATGAGAGACTATATACATGTATACACAGCAAAAAGAAAAAGAGAACAAAATCTTAGATAGACTTATAATACGGGTTTTTATGCGTAAATAACTTAACAATTATTAAAATGTTTTCTGAATGGATCAGGATAAGAAAGAAGATCGGAGTTCTTAAGCTTAACAAAACCGACTGTTACACGCTTTGCAACTTCCAATACAACCTTATGTGGCATCAATTTGATTTGAAAAAAAGGTCAGTTATATATTTTGTCTACTTTTAGAAAGCAAAAGATACAGCCAGGCATGACAAATAGATAGATTATAATGAATTAAAACTGATGGCTGGTGTAACTTTTCCTCAAAGAGCAAACGTGTTGATAATTGGTGATTTCAATGTTGGTAAAAGTACTTTAATCAATTATCAACGGACAAAACGATTTGATGATACAATTGTTCCTACAATAGAAATTGAACCGAGTACAATAAGTGTTACTGTAAATGGTAAAGATATGATTATTACTGTGAAGGACTCTCCAGGTATGAAAGAGGATTCAATAAAATACGGGTGAGTTATATGAGTGTTGAGACTTCTTTTGTAATATGCATGTGGTATTTATTTGTTTGTTTCTTTCTATTGAGAGATAGATATTAAAGATTTGTCAATAGAAGCAACACGAGTTAATTTTTTTTTTATAAATTGTCATGCCTACATGTCCCTGTGATGTTCAATAAGTAATAGGCATATATTTACAAGTATCAAATTTTAAAATTTTTAATATGCTGTTGTTTGATTATATTTACAATCTATGTGGGTTTTTTTTGTGAACGAGGCTCAATTCTATTTTGTGCCTAATTTGCCATGTTCGAATTACTTTCAAATATTTACTTTAATTAAGTACAAAAACTTCGTTATAAAATACGTTTGCTATTATATATCTGAAAAAGGTTAAAAAATGTTACTCCCTCTAAAAGGCTATTGAACACTCCAGATTTTGCTACAGAAAATAACTATCGACATTAAACACTTTCAGGATAGAAAAAGAAGAGAAAAACATGTTGAGGTAGCTGGGGTGTCTTCCTCCATCTTGGATTTTGAATTAGCAGATAACAATCGGTCTAGATCTTTAATGAAATATGCAAATTTCGAGAGTAGTATGTAATTCATGTATAAGACTTATCATCTTAATATAGAAAGTTTTGTGTTTTATCGTATTTTACACCTTTATTTTACAACAACAAAAAAACAGAATGTTTTTGTTTGATTCATATTTTTCAACTTTGCCACATAAGGAGAGATAACTCTTATGAAGCAACTTTTATAATAGAATGTGTTGTGAATTTACCTATTTTATTATGCAGCAAGAAAATGAGTCCAGTGACCCCATATTTTCTTTTTCTTATCTGAAAGCATGTTATCTGAGCTATCTTCTCATACTTTATCTTAAAATTCTATGTTGTAGTTATCTTTTTATCGCACAAAATTAGGTTTTCTTTCCATAGGCTATACAAAATTTGACTATTTTGCACAACCTGTAGCGTGAAAAACAGCCCGGTGACACATACTTTTTTTTTTATTTTTGAAAAAAAATATGATATAAACTACATTTTGACAAATTGTTTAAAAGATCTATGGATTTTATTTCAGACTCCCATCTACCTTAATAGACAATAAGAAAAGAATCCTATTGCTTTTATATGGCAATTGTTTTCTATTCGTTTAATATGACCTTTTTTCTATTCGTTTGATGTGTTTGAGCGTTTGATTGCCAATTGATAAAGGACATTCCGTTTTGAATTGGAGTTCGGTATTTTTGCTATTTTACATTTTTTGTAAGTATAAAATTGAGTATTCAAGCAAATGATTCATCATCCGTATGAAAGCAACATTGAATTATCATTTTATAATTTCTGCAAACTTTTTTTTTTTTTATTTCAGGCGATTTGTGTTTCCCGAATTTCAGAACTGTGCAGTGATCGTGTTCGTCTACGACAAGACACACAGACCCAGCTTTGATCAGATAACATACTTAAAAAACATGGTGGACGAATTAGTTAATCGTCGTATGGAGTGTATTCTTGTCGGAAATAAATGTGACATAGCAAAGGACGACGATGTTACATTTGAGGATGGCCACGAAAGATGTGCTGAATTAAAAATGGATTTGTTTATTGAAATATCGGCAAAAAAAGGTACAAACGTGGAAGAACTCTTTCGGGAAGCAGCTTTGCGCTTGAAAGACATGGAGCTTGAATTTGGATCCACAAAAGAACTACCTAAAAGTGAAAACACCCCAAAAAGCTGCCAATGTTAAGGTAGCTTTGGTGTCCAAATGTTGGATGATAGATTTTTCTTTTACTTCTGTAAAGGATTTCTTGGTCAATGTAATTTCAATAAAAATACTCGTTGAAATTCACGAAAAAATAGTTATTTTGTATGGATTATAGATGGGATATATTTTAAACCGAAACAGAATTTTTGCAACATGCCCAGAAATAATGCTCAGCAAAATGTATGCTATCAAAATACTAACCAAGTTATTGCTGAAAAACAGGATGTAAATAGAGGCAACAGTAGGACCACAATAAAAAAAACAAACATGATTTAGCTCAGGTGTACTGGAAGACTCTGCAGTTCATGCTCCACTACTGACATATATCAGTTAATTCTTCATTTTCGTAACTTATGTGAAAATAATTATAATGTTTATCAAAATCAAAGTGTTTATGAGTTCACATCAGGTGATTATGTGTGTTTTTAAACATAAAATGTTATTTGATCAAATGAAAACATACTGCCATAAGACTGTTTTTATTGTTATTTAGAAATATTGCCGTCGAATGCACATGAGTCTCCACATACTGGAAGATGTTAAGATTTTATCAACTCGACTCGAAATTTATTTTTTATTTGTTATTAGAAAAACGTTAATGTGGGGTAAATTGATATCATATGTACAATCGGATTATCAGGAATACGTCAGATAATACATGTACACGTGTTCCATGGTCAATTTCTATCATACTTTCTTAATGAGTTATGATTGATTTGATGAAGAACAAAAGCTGTTGGCATAGTGACTTTGTGGAATGAACATTATTTAAAACAACAGATCGTTTTATTTCCATTCAAATGGTTTCTTTAATTTCTTTAGAACATAAAACACTCATGATAATGCAGAAAAAAATCATATCCAAGGGCCTTTAGCAATGACTTACCCTTATATAAGTTGTCTTGGGATGCGGCACGGTGAAAAAAGGACGAAATGCTCTATAAACCTTTTTCTTTAGATTTAGACAATTTCGAAACTATATGGTCAATTATATCATTACCGTATGCAAACTGATCATCAATTTATAATATACAAATATATCATGCTTACAAGGGGTATTTGCCAAAAAAAACCGGTTGAGAGGTAAACAATTACCAGAGCTGTTAGGCGAGGGAAATTTGTTTAGCTTGAAACCGGTATATTTTGGCAAGTACCCCTTGTTACCATGATAATATTGTTTGATTCCAACGAATGTTCTTTTCAATCTCAACGAAAAGTCTAGAGTTCTTTGGACGTCGCGTTATCTTTAAACATGGTAATTCCAATCTGTCGTGATATTTGCTAGCAAATACACCGGCACATGATTATTCTCTAATGAAAAATACTGACAAATACATCAGTAGAGAAAAGGAAATCTCAATGTATAGAAAGTTTGTGAAAAATATCAATTCTTTCATCCAATCAAACTACAGCATTATTACATAAGGTGAAATTATAATGCAAATCAACCTATCAGTTAACTGTTAATTTTCCACTGCCCAGAAGTCATAGTTCTGGTATTTGCATTATTTAAATGGAATAATTTCCAATGTAGTCAATTATTATTATTATTTTGGTTAGGATTATTGAGGATTTTGTATATAAAATTGAGAACGGAAATGGGGAATATGTCAAAGAGATAACAAACCGACCAAAGAGCAGATCACAGCCGAAGGCCTCCAAAGTTTTTTAACAGTACAAGAAATTTATGAGAGAATATCAGGAAAATGCAGTTGTTATCAAATGGTCCGTGTCTATGCACAAGGCGTTTGTTTTTGTTGCACTTCAGTGTTTCTGTTGTTCCGTTGTTTTCCTCTTATAGTTAATGTGTTTCCCTCGGTTTTAATTTGAAACCTAGTTTTGTTTTCTCTCAATCTGTTTATGACTGTTGAACAGCGGTATACTGCTGTTGCCTTTATTTAAAACAAAAAAAGAAAAGAAGAAAGACTGACAAATTCAAACGCAAAGAAAAAAAGAAGAATAAACACTACACAGATTGTAGACCTGCATACAGTAAACATGTTATGTAGATCTTGAAATTCTTGCTGCTTAGGACTGTAGTTTGTTTTCATCAAAAGGAAGTTTCTGTGTAAACTAAGTGTGTCCTATTACACCTTCTTCATCAGACACACTTCTTCATCAGACACACTTAGGACTTAAGAACAGTATTTCGAATGTATAAATTGTTATTTAGTGCAATTAAGTGTTTTATTTGAAGTAATGATTTTTTATTTAGTGTTGTTTTGGGAGAGAAAAAAAAACCTAGTATTTATGCATATATGTTGATGGATTATGTGTGTTTTTCGCTTGATAAATCTTGGATGTAGAATCGTCTGATAAAAATCACATGGTACAACTAGAATAAATTTCCAGGTATGTAACACTCTAGTAACGGTTATTCAACTAATGAGGGTGTGCTCGATTATAAGTCATATTTGAAACAAAATATGATTCGATATTTCAAACCATTCTATTAGATCAAATAGAATTAAACAAGAAAACAGTGTTTCGTGTTTCATGCATAACCCAACATTTTTTTCTTTCCCTTTGCTCATAACAACGAAAAAAATGTTATGCATGTTTAAGCGAATAATTCTTAAATAGCAATACAAGCAAACTGAAATCATTCTTCCCTATTATCAGAAAGGAGGCAAACAGTTTTAGAAAAAAAAACCTGAGTGATTAAAAACAGTTCTAGATTTCGTTTTGTAAGTCTTTAACTTGAGTGGAAAACTGCTTTTTGATTTCATTAAAACATTTCAAGATTAACGCCGTCATTTGCACTGCCGATATAACTGTTATATTTGCCACTGGACATATAACAACAGTAAAGAAATTCGATTATGTTACGCGTTTCTGTTGAAAATTGAATAAAAATCCCACCCAATATTTAACTAAAGTCTTATTCAAATGTTATCCATACTCCCTCAAATTCTATTCATTAATACTATATTCAAATTATAACAACAAAAAATCAAATAATATACCGAATACGTCATTTTGACCATTTCAGTTTTTTTGTAGAAACTATATCCGAGTAATATTTCTTTTGTTAATGTACATTTATTATAAAATGGAACAACCGATTTTTGCTGTACAAAATCAAAATACAACACTTTAAATTTCAAGCAAATGATATCTTAAACGGTAAAATTAAAATCAAATCTGTAAGTGAATATAAAAATAAGAAAATGTAGTATGATTGTCAATAAGACAACTCTCCACAAGAGACCAAATGACACAGAAATTAACAACTATAGGTCACCGTACGGCCTTCAACAATGAGCAAAGCCAATACCGCAGTCAGCTATAAAAGGCCCCGAAATGACAAATGTAAAACAATTCAAACGAGAAAACTAACGGCCTGATTCATGTACAAAATAATGAACGAAAAACAAATATGATATACGGCAACAAACGACAACCACTGAATTAAAGGCTTCTGACTTGGGACAGGCACATACAGAATGTGGCGGGGTTAAACATGTTAGAGGGCGCCCAACCCTTCCCCTAACTTTGAACAGTGGTGTAACAGTACAACATTTGAACAAACTATAAAAATCAGTTGAAAAGGGCTTAACTCATCCGATAAATACTAAGCACAAAAACAAGTAACAAAAACACAGAGTGGACGTGACAGGGTACTTATACATCCCCACAACAAAAAGACACTAAGTACAGATTTGAGATAACTCGCAGTTACTTGACAACTAGTTCAAAGCCAATAACAAATAATAAAAAAAATCATGCATCTAATACTAATTTTCCTTTCTGAATAATGTTAATGTCTTTAATATCACAAAAGACTTCATCTGAGTTAACACATTTAATATTTTGTAGATGCACAGAATTGGAATGGAACTCAATGGAAAATATTCGTTTTTACCCGCTTGGATACTATCCGTGACAAAAATTCAATCACGATTTGCTTCGGAAAACAAAATATGGATAATGTTGTGGAATTTTAGTGAAAACGATACTATATGTTATACATTGGAATTATATACGACTCGCAAATAAAAGCTGTTTATTAATAATGAGATATTTGGTGTTCATTGTATTACTACGATCCCCCATTATCAGTCGTTTTAGTAAGTTTTCATCTTCGTTCAATATCGCATTCAGTCGTCGATTATTTCCATGGGTGAACACTTTTTAAGAAAGTGCCCATGGAAATATTCAAAGCGCAAAATGTCCGGATGAATGAAGATGAACAAAAGAAAATAACTCTCCATTCCTGAAAAATAATGGAGAGTTTGAACAAAAGATTTACATCACAGGTGAATTTTAAGTTAAATGAGGAGATCTCAATTAATCAGTTAGTTCATTATACTTTAAATACAATTTACATTAATCTTCCCATTGAATGCTTAATCGACATAATTTGAATGCTTTGAGAATTTTTATTATAATGTTCAGTCATAATTTGTCTTGAATATCTATAAAGATCTAAAGCATTCAAAACTAAAACCAAACACAATGAATAAATAGCTGCATGCTTAATAAATAATTGTGTCGTAATTTTGAAAATTTTTATTGAGTATCTTCTTTTAGGTGCGCTCTCTTCGTACAGTGGAAAACTTGCACTTGGTATTTTATCAAAACTAGTTTAATATTTTTTGCATAATTGCCAGCTTTCGAGTTGTTTCGAAACAACTTTAAATCATAACGGTAATTTTTGCTATCCCTCGAAAAGGTGGTTTAAAATTATGTGGTATTTCAGTGTTCAGAAACAGATATGTCTCTGGTTTATACTGCAATGATATGATTTAAAGGTTGGGCTTTGTTTTGAATGCTTGAATTTCTGTATGCGTATTTAAATAATAATATATTGTATATAAAAGAATAAAATTACATTATATGCATTCATTCTCATATCATTTACTTGACTAAGTGTCCATATTCACACCTGATCTCCTTGATTTAAAACAGCCCAGTTTTTCCATAAGAGTTACGTTTTCTTGAGTCAAGAGCCATAAAAATTTAGAAGATTTATTTAAATTTTTAAAATTATAACAATTGTTAGAAATGTATTGAAAAAACTACCGCTTCGGTTAAACTAAAAACCTGAGGGCTGAAACCGATGTACCCGATTTCGGAAGTAAAAACTGAAGAATCAATTTGCTGCTCTTCTCATACATGGTTTACAAAATGAAAAATGAAATAAATAACTTATTGTATATTCATTAAGTTTAATCTAAATATTAAACAACTAAACAACTTATAATGTCACGGCTGAGACTACTATAGTCTCAGCCAGGTCACGGTGACCACTACTCTCAATCATTCCGTAATCCGCAACTCGTATTGCAATCCTCTTTTTATGTCATTCAGATTTTACAAAAATCCGCGTGTGTTTATCTTTTGAAAGAAAAAAGCAAGGTATGTCTATCAAAAGGATAGAAATGTAAAAAAAACCGAAATTTTTGGTAAATGTCTAAATTTCGACCCCATTTATTTCTTAAAGTAGCACATGAACAAATGATGAAGGT